AACCTAAATTAGCAATGACATACGGAGAACTCACTGCATACCCTATGTTTTTGCTTCTTGAACATTTTTTGATAGATAGCACAATAATATACATTAACCTTTAATGACATACAGACATTCTTACTTCTATCAGATAATTTACTGGATAATAGTTATATTTAAATGAAAGTATTTCCCATTTATCTCCCATCCTGTTAAAAAATACCACTGACAAGCAAAACAGCTTCCAAGAACTCCATTCTTTTACCCAAGAATAGATTTGATGTAATTCCTCATATAATTAGATGAGAACCAGTGGTACATTTAGGCCACATAAATGGCTTAATTAGGATAAACTTGGCTTGATTGATTATAGCATGAAAGAACACACAGATGTATTTTATTACAATCTCCTTAAAATACAAATTAATTTAGTTTAGTATGGCAGATTAGGGACTGCACAAGTGAACTTCATGACACAAATTGTAAGACAATATTAAAAGTATCACTACAAAACAAATTTAAAAAAACCCTTACCCACTCTAAAAAGCCAAAGGCAAACATTCTTCCATGTTGAAAATCCCCAAAAGAAATAAAGCTAGTTACAAGAAAAGACTACATCTCCTGTAATTCCAATGTCAGATCATGCATTTTTTTTGCTTTTCTGCTTCTGGACCAGTTGCCATAACAGGGGTCAACAGCACCAGCAAGTTGTTGCCAAAAAGCAGATCTCATCTCTAATCAAAATAATCCAGCCACATCTTTGTCTAAAAGTAGAAATATTTCACATATAGAAATACCTATAAAATGTGGCAGGACCAGCTTTTAAAACTTGTTTGATTTTAGAACTGAATTATGGTTCTTAATCTCCAACTGTAAAGTAGATTTTTTGTCCTTGAATCAGCGTAGGTTTTTCTCAGAATCCTTTCCTATTTATCGATATTCATTTTGAAGGCCAGATAACAGAAGCAGACAGTGTCCTGCAGCCTGTCTTTGCTCTGCACAGTGAAAATAACTTCTTGCTATTGTTCCATAACCCTCCACTTAGACTTGAACAAGGATCACACTTAGCTCTTTTAGGCTACTGCATTGCTCTGAAAACTCAGACCTACTTCATTAGAATTCCAAGGTCTTTTTAAAAGTTACCACTTCCTAAATATATTTCTGTGTTTACACAGACAAATGTCTTTATACAGAGTATCTTACAAGGCATCTTGAAGACAAAAAATCTACACAGTATCAGTGGTCTAATTTCAAGATTAACACAACTGAAAAAAGGGGAAGCTCTGAGAGGTTGCTGTTCCACTCTGTTCTCTCAAATCACCGATCTCCAGCTTGATTTACAGAAACACACCTTGTTTGAATTAAAATGTAACTAATGAAAGTCACTGTATAAGTACAATGTTAAAAATTAGAACTAGAAATTAATCCATTCTTTCTGCAAAATTTTATAAGTAAGAGTGAGATGTAAGAGCAAAACATAATTCATACAATTGTATGCAAGTTCAAGGAGTTTTTTTTTAGGCCAATATTCAATATGCAGCTGATTTCCATAAAAAACTACTGTCATGGACTATCTAGTTCATGGAGTGAAACTTCTTAATTTATTCCAATTAATTCTGTACAACTTTTTATGGTTTGATTTTGCAATTTTTATTTAGTCCTTTTGATTACTGTAGCCAGATAGACTTTAATAAATTAAACATTCATTTTGTGTACTCACAGTATCCTCATTCTTGAATTATACATATAAACATATTAGTTAATTCATATTTTAAGATTGTACTTCAATAAATACTTAAAAACTGGCACTACCAACAAATGAAGAGCTCTGCCATTTTCTCCCCTCTGGGTATCCCTTCCTCAAAAGCATAAATTCATCAAACCATAGTTAGAGGCAGCAAAATCAATATTCAAGGATAACTGCAGGAAGGTTTCCTTTTCCGCATTATCTTTCATCTTTCTGGTTTTTAGGCTTTATGGGAAGGAGCACATACTGTTATTTAAAGCAAGTAGATGGCTTCTTTACCTCTACATCCCTTCCTTCTCCAGCTTGAAATGCAGATATGACTTCTAACAGTACATTAATTTGTCCTTCCTATTACTCAATTTTCTTTTTCAGTTATGATTTTTTGTCACGTTATTTTGTAGACCTCTTTCAATTTATTATTGGGAAAATGCCACCATAACATCATAAATCAGCAAGGGAAAAATGGTAAGAAGAGGCTCCATTTTAGCATGCAACAATGATAATAACATTATGGCCTGGCTAACTAATAAATTTTAAGAAAATTAATCAAAAATTTAATGATAAATATGCCTATAGTTGTCTATGTTTTGGCTCTTATTACTAGTAAATCATTCATGCTTTTTATTAAAAATTCCTACCTAAATTATTTATAAACAGTTTGACCATAGATATCAAAAGAAAAACAAACTACAAGAAAGATGCAATTACAGGCAAGATATAATTTTAGAACTAAGACGTGCATATATACAACCATCTCTCAAGATTTTTTTCTCTAGAATGACAATATGAGGGAAACAAAGGACAAGGAAAACTTATGCCACAGTGTAAAATAACTGTTGTATTTACAGAAATCTGCAATAGAATATATTTAAGCCAGAAAAGCTGAACTTCATTCCAGAACTCCCACATCAAACACAAAGAACAACTCCTGCAAGACACCACCTGGGCTGAGCTGACCCTTAAATCCTCACCAATCAGAACACATCTTACTAATCTTCTGCTATCAGGCAAATATCAGCTTGCTCCTTAAAATTCATTCCACTTCCCAAATTCCAAAACCAAGCTTAGCTTTTATACCTAGTTAGGAGAGGACTTGGCAAAGAAAATTTCAGAACTATATGCATTCTCAGCTTATACAAGTATCTTAGTTCTTGGAGAAGGTATTGCAATCTAAATTGTTTCACTGAAGATAAAGTTCAGAATCTGCAAAATTTTGTGCTGTGAATAAAACAAAAAAATATCAAGCAGGAGCAATTAATAGATGTACAAATTTAAACAATTTTGTCATGAAGCACATTTTACTAAATGATTATCTATTCAGGTCTGTAAATTAATGAAAGCATCTCTCTTAGAGAATATATTTTTCTGACTTGTTGGCCTATTTCCATAATTTACATTGAACACTTGCTAAAATGATTCACTTCTATGAATATTTTTGAAACATAATTTTTTAAAAAATTAAAATCCCTACACTACATAGGAGAAATGTTTTGCTTATGAAAAATGAAAATTTATAAATGTCAATGCACTTTAATTTATTTATTTTGAAAATACAGAAAATCCTATGCTGATTTCAGAATTTATAGAGGAAAAAAAAATTAAAGGTGTGGTTTTGCAAACAAGCTGCTCCTAATTAGAGTTAAGAACTTCAGACTTATCTGTCCTTGAAAAAACAGGGACTAAATAAACAGATATACAAGTAAATAAAAATCTATATAGATTTAGGGAGACATAAAAAGCACACAGAAATCTTCAGCAAGATAAACTGTCTTTAAAATTTAGCAGCAATTAAGTATCCAGTGATAACTCCTACTGAAGCCAGGCTGAGGTTAGTAAAGAGATCCCTTGTCAGCATCATTCATCCTCACCAACCAAGCCATTGCACAAGATCAGAATTTAACACAGTTTATAGCATGTGTGGCTGGCCAACAGGCCGACTACAGAAAGATTGTCTTTCATAGCCCTCTAGCTCTTGAACATCAAAACTCAAATTAGTGGCATTCATTATTTAAAAAATAATTGATTGCATCAGGGTATTTATTTCATGTGCACAGCCTTCAACCTATTGATCCTGATCTAGAAACTAATTGAAAAGGAAAAAAAAAGAAAAAAGAAAAATAAAAGAACCCAAACTGTAGGAACCTAAAATAAAGCATTATGTGTATTTTCATCAGCAAGAGCCTATATTGCAGGAAATCATCATCTATTTAAATAGATTTTCATGAAAACATATGACCTTTTGAAGCCATATGTGCATGAATGCACTGTTTTCCAGCTTACCATGGTCAAAAGTTGCTCACAAAACTGCCTGCATCTAAATTCTTGAATGATGTAGAAGAGTCCACTGAGAGCCTTGTCCAGACTGTAGTCTCACTTACTAACTTTGCCAAATACTAATAAAACTTAATCTGCAGTTCTCAATATCTGTTGTCCATTTATAGTTGTTTTTATAAAATGTCCAACCATTTCCAAGGAACATTTTTTGTAAAAAAAAAAAAAAAATCTCATTCACCAAACTCACTAGAATTCTCAAAGCTGATTTTGCAGCATCTCAAAGCTCTGAAGAACAGATGCTATTTTAATGTGCAAATGCTGTTTCAATGTGTAAACACACAAGTTTACATGCAACCTGTAAACTGGATTTTGTAAATCTGATTAAGTTAATTTCAGACCTGTAAAACTTTAATAGTTACTTCAAGGTTCCATATGAACAGGGTATGCAGTGTCCTAGTGAAAAGACTGAAGATGTTGATATGTTTTGACTACCAATCACATGGAGAAAGATGTAATTTAAAACAAATATTGTTTTTACACAAGCAAAGCTACCTGATCCTTCAAACATCAGTGTCCATCTACTTATTCTAGGCAAATTGTTCAGCATGATATAAGAATGGACCAACTTGCTGATATACAAATAAAAATTAATATTTAACATTACCATTGTTTTTACAGCATCAATTTTGGATCTGCTCATCTTGCATTAGAAGTTATTTCAACTATTTGTTTATTTTGTTGGGGTGTGATAATTGGATACCATTTCTTTTATATTTCTATTGCTTAATATTGGAAACATCCCTTTTTTTAAAAAAAGTTTATTAACAATAGCCTCTATTTAATAATCTCCTCCCATGAAAATTAGATTGATATGGAGCAGAGAACACAGTAGCACCCTGCTCAAAAATCATAATTTAAATCCCAAATACGAAACTTTTGTATTAAAAAAACTCTGCCAATGAAATGCTATCTTATGAAGGAATGTTTTTTAACACAGTGGTCAAATGAGACGTAAAAAGCGCTTACATACACAGCTGCAGCCACACTTGGAGTGCTCCACACAAGGCAGAAGAGACAACAAATGGATTCTGCGGGAGCGAAGGTGCGCCCAAGCAGGAGGGAGCGGGTGGCTGGGCCTTACCTGACCAGTGGCCGGTGGAGGAGCCCGTCCTGTCGGTGCAGGTCTCGCTGACGGGCCGGAACACGGTCTCCCAGCCGCCCGTGGCGTAGCGCCAGTTCTGCGACTCCAGGATCAGCGTGCGCTGCGTGCCGTACGCGATCATGAAGCAGTACACCACGTGGTGAAGCTGGCAGCCATAGCCACAGCCTTTGTTGATGTTACACACGAGTTTCTTAGCTTTGCTGCAATCCTTCGGGTTCTGTAAGGATGGGTGAAAAAGTGGAGCTGAAGAGAAGCTACACCAAACGCTTGAGTTTTTCTGAAAAACCGGCAAATGTCATAAATCACAGAAGCCACCCTGCTATAACACATCTCCTACTAAAATGGATGAGTGAGCTTCAGCTCCGTGAAAATTTTATGTGAATTCTTCACTGTGAACATGAACACTTATTGAACATACTTCACTATCCTAATATAAAATAGAATACATTCAAGATTTTAAATTATTTTCTCATTTGTAAATCTGTCAGAAAAAGCCAACATTTGGACTCAGAGTTCACATTTCATCAACATGATTCTCAGCTTTTTCCCTTGGCATTTTTTCCGGTTTGTTAGTTCTCTTTCAATAAGCATGCATGTCATCTCATTAAAGAAGATTTCCACCTGTCTACAATGTACAGAATAAAACAAATGCTTATTAAGGGACTGCTTCCCAGGCTACCTGACCACATAGTAAATACAGAATGTAAAACACATTCCTGAACAGACTGATAAAGGACAGAATTTTAATCTGCATACACTTTCCATAAAATAACATATTTCACTTCCACAAACCAAGAAACCACAAGATAGAAGGCAAATGCCTACATTGTATGAATGCTATGTTTAAAATTGCAAACTAAGAAATATTTTTAGGTGTGTGGAATTTTTAGGTATGTGGACAACACAACATCATAATCACAGAGTTTATCTTTACATAAAAGATAGTACTCTTTTTATACATATTCATACTTGCATGGCTATAGACATACTTCTAAATTCCAGAAAGGTCTTCCATAACATATCCAGGATTAAAGTTTCAGATAAGGTGTAAGAACACTGATATTTGAGCATCAATATAAATTCTGTTTCTTTCATATCTAAACTTTAAATAAAATTTTCTGTAAATTTGCAACAATCAAATCAAATCTTCAAAAAAAAATGATCCCAATCTGGAGAACTCAGATCCCTCCTTCAAGTGATCTTAAAAATAATCTGAATATTCTGAGTCTTAAAATATTTTAAAATAAAATTAGTTTGTGCATTCAGTTATGTAAAGGAGGGGATGACAATTCAGACAGGGTGGGGCGGGGGAGGCAGGGAATAATAAAACATCCAAAATAAACCCAAAACTCTAGAACACCTGCTGTACCTTCAGCATTTTATTTTTTTCATTTTAAATACACCTGATTCAAAGCCTAACTTGGTATGAAATCAATAAATGAAATAAAATTTTCATTCCCAATTTTTATTCCTCAGACTAGTACTTTTATCATCACAAATTTAATGGATAACTTGAGAATAAACCCAGCAGGTATCTTTTGAAATTACAACAAATGTATTTCCCACAATTTTTCAAAAGAGAAAGAAGGCCTTACTAATATTCTGTATAAGTCCACAAAGAAAGAACTCCATGAAAAAAATACATCCTCATATCACGATTATCAACAGTATTATATTTTTATTATTACTATTGTCATTAATGTTATCATATTTTGCTTCGTTTCAGTTGTTAAGCTGTTCTTATCTCAACCCACAATGGGTTTTTTTATGTTTTTTTTTCTGTTTGTTTGGGTTTTTTTCCCATTTATTCTCCTCCCTGTCCTACCAGGGAGGAGAAGGAGTCTCTGGAGGTTACTTTATTACCTAAAGCCATAACACTATTGTGTTTGAAAGGGGTAATTTCTGTGAATTTTTAGGAAATGCCCTTAGATAATGCTTTATATACTTGCATCAACTCCAAATGTTTGTGTCCTTTAAAATGAAAGCATTTAATCAATGACATATTTGAAATATTGTCAAGGTGTGCCCTTCTCACTTCATGCAAATTAAAGCTTCATATAGTAGCTTATGAACAATATTATGGAAATCAAGTAGTAATCACACAATGAAATATAATTTGATAGTGTGACTGCTTATCATGTTAATATAATGAACTTACTTGTGTTTTTTCATTATTTGTAGACTTAACTAAAAACTAGATATATTAGTATTAGCTTATGACTTAAAAAGAAATCTATTTAACTAATTTCTTTATCACTGTGGGGTTTTTTCAAATTGCTATACTCAAGTAGCAAAAAGACAAGGCAATATTTGAGTTTCAATTGTCTATTGAGAATTTTAAAAGAAAAAGGGAAGTAGAGATACTTGGATATATTGCAGTTTCAACTGGTGTTGCCAGGAAAAGGTGAAAATATAACCCATTGATAAGGAAAAAAAGTTACATTTCAAGCATCAGAACAGCTTGGGTGCTAATAACCAAAACTGCCAACCAAAGAAACCAGTTAAAAGTATTGAGATGATAATGGATAACAGTCAATTTTAAAACCAATGAGGACTGACAGAAGAGTTTTCCTCCTAGCACAAAGTCACAGAAAAGGATTATAAATCCCTGATTTGAGTGGGTAGTACATTCTGTTCTCAACCCTAAAGACACTGCTGATCACACTCCTATTTCCAATTTAATGATCTATATAATCAAGATAGGGATGAAAGGGACCTCCACGAATGTCAAGCCCTGTAATGTAACAGCCATAAAACTGGAGTAAAAACAAATACCAAAAAAATCCAAAGAAAAATTTAACAAACCCACACATAATCCCAAACAAACAAAAACCTACAGCTGACCAATCACACAAAACATAATTCAATACACAGAAGATTAGATCACCAAGCCATTCCAGAGTTTACACCTTTTATCTTCCTCTGAATCATTTCTATGAACAATGCAACTGAAAAAATGAGCAAATTTTCAGAACAGCAAAATGGTTAGAATTACATATTTCTATGGAAGAGAATACCATCAAAAATAAAAGTAGATTTTTTGCAACTGGAAAGATGGATTTAATGGTATTTCATCACAAAGAACATGGGCATATACAGCTGCTCTCACAAAATTCAGGGTTTCCACTGTATTCTTCTTCCAGGGCTCTTCGTTGGCCCATTCACAGCAAGCAGGCTCAGGTGGGAATAATGTCCCAAGCACTGCCTCAATGCCTCACCACCTTCCAGTGTGTAGTCAACCATCAAAACACATGACAAACTGGCAAAAGTAAACCCTGCTCTTTAATATACATTTTATTGTATGAGAAACCACTGTGTTAATAAACACAGTTCAGAGAAATGTAGTTAATCCAATGAATCACAACAGATTAGAGTGGAGTGGGAAAGCACTCTGCTACCATTTACAGAAAAACCCCATAAACACATTGTGATGCTCATTAACAAAGTTTTTCTTTTTTTATATTTTCAATAGACATTTTATTCTTTGATGCTACACAGTCTGTTGGAGAAGAGGGTCCCACCTAAAATCTTTGGAAAATCACTTTTTTTTGAGAAATATGTCAATAACGGGTGCTTCTCAACCTAGTTATCACAAATACAATTCATACAATCTTTTATTACCCTTCTTTTGTGATGTCATTTGTAATCCTTCCTTTTCATATGAGCTCCCCTCATGACTTTGGGGGCAGAAAAAATCCACACAAAGAAACAAAAAGTCCAAACAAACCACCAGAAGTTTCTTCCAGCTGCTGGAAGAAAATGTTCTCCCTAGTCAGAAATAGTAGGTATTTGATTTGAGAGCCTGAGATCTCAAACCTTCCTCTAAAAGAAATTCCAATAGTTTGCCTCTACCCTCTTGTGACACACAAGTTTCAGCTTGAGAGAAACATCCCAGCATGCAGATGGACTTTAACACGCTGTGCTCCTCACTCCTAGAGAAAACCTCACACAGATACCCACAGTAACCACACTTCCTTAGGTGGTTATTATACTGAAGCCATATAAGATACTTTTGATTTGATTGATTACAGTTGTATGGGGTGCATCCCCTTGCATGTATGCAAAGTACCCAAAGCCTTTTTTATTGTTCTTGTCATTTTAGCATGAGGACTTTTGCTAAAAACATTAATCAGTAATTTTAATGTGAGGGACAGGATTTAATACACTTTAAGACAGAAAAATCTAAGTGACACATTAAACCACCAAAAATACTGTGAAGTCCAGAAAGCTCAGAAAAAAGTCTTGTGAAAAAAGTCTTCTTCTCTTTGCATACATACTATTTAGTTGCCCAACAGTAAGGCAGAATATGACTTGAATAAGGCAAACTATGACTAATATAATTGATGGTTGTTGAGTACTTAGCAACTTTTCTCACCTGATTGTATTTTTAACCTTTAAAGCTGAACAAAAAGATTTGTTTTGTTTTGTTTTTTTTAAATCAGAGGCAAAAATATTCTACTATTACAAGACTGCATGCTGAATCACAAACTTCCTAAAATAAACAGAACAAAAATAGGCACAAAAGAGAAGGGATAGAAAACTGCTGCCTTCGTAATAATTTATTCACTTGATTACAGCACTACAGGTGCTCTTATCTGACTTCTCTTGCGCATTTTCTTCATCTGTTTGATAAAAAACAACTCTGAAAATAAGGCCTTTTCCTTAAATATAAAGTCCTATCTTTTTAAATGTTGCTCCAACTATAGGAAACTAGTTACATGTAGCCTCATTAAATCAAATTTATGGTAATGTCATCCAGATGAAGTAGCAGTCATCACTATTCACAATCATTCAGCTAAATGACTTCCCAGGGAGATGTCCCAAAATAAGGCAGCTGTCAATGTTCAACATGTACCAGAAAAAAGCTATCCAGTCCTTTCATACTTAACTAAAAAAACAATTACAAAT